CCCCAACCCCCGGCTATGTGATATATGGTCTTAAACTCGTGCGTTCTTTCTTTCTCCCTCACTCTCACAAAACCCACTGCCTCATCACCAAATCTTATTCCTCTCTTTTCTCTCTCTTAATAATTCACCTCTCACTTGCGCCCTCACACGTCCTCTCTCTCTCTCTCTCTCTCTCTCTCCGGCAGCTAACACAGGTATTTTAACTCTCTCTCTCGTGTACACGCACAAACGGACAAACCATACACACCTCTCTCTCTCTCCGGTAGCTTTCACCCTCTTTCTCTCTCTTATCTCTCGCTCTCACACACAGTCTCCCGTCAAAAAGAGGGCTCTCGCCCATTCTTGCGGAAAGCCCATCTCTCTCTCTCTCTCTCTCTCTCTCTCTCTCTAATGGCTCCAAAGAACGAAAAATCAGCTAAAAACATGTATAACAGAGGAGCATGGACAGCTGAGGAAGATAGAAAACTGGCTGAGTACATTGAAATCCATGGCGCAAAGAAATGGAGAACAGTAGCAAACAAATCAGGTTAAGGTCTTTTAGTTCTTTTTTTTGAGTTCTTACCCAATCCTTCACCTGCGTTTTTATTGATTTTTAGCTTTGAAGATTGATAGATTTGATTGTTCTTGAAGGTTTGAATCGATGCGGGAAGAGTTGTAGGTTGAGATGGTTGAACTATCTTAGACCCAATATCAAGAGAGGTAACATCTCTCACGAAGAAGAGGACCTCATACTTCGGCTTCATAAGCTACTTGGCAACAGGTTAGTGAATAAATTAAACACACCATTATACTATAGGTAACCCATAGCTACATTAACTTGACCTTGAGCTTGTGTACATTTTGTATGACTTGCAATATAGGGATTGGGTTAGCAAGCAGGAATCAATCTACGGCACCCCATGTCTTGCTCACTAGTTTTTTGGTGGTGGTGGTGTGGTTATCATTAACCAAACATTTCACGGAAAGAGACCCTCGTGGCCACGGCTAACACTATCTGCCCCATTTCCTTTGTTCAAAAAAATATAGACTATGACCGTGACCTTACCCTAGAGACTTGGGCCCAAAATAATGTCCTAGAAATATGTGTTTATTTATAAGAATTGTACATCTGTTATTAAAAAAAATAATAACAAAGGATCCGGATCTATGAGAACCATGTTCTAAGATTTGATAATATAATTCTGATAGTGCTAATAAGTTATTTTTAGGCACATTAATCCAACAATTGTTCCTAAATTGATTTGATNATAATATAATTCTGATAGTGCTAATAAGTTATTTTTAGGCACATTAATCCAACAATAGTTCCTAAATTGATTTGATTTTTTTTTTTTTTTTGTTCTTTGATAGGTGGTCTTTGATTGCTGGGAGACTTCCGGGACGAACTGATAACGAGATTAAGAACTATTGGAATTCTCATTTGAGCAGAAAAATAAATCAAAATGAAAAAATAAAAGCATCGTCGTCCACACAAGAATCTTTGCCGCACAACATTGATGAATCTTTGCCGCACAACATTGAAGACATCACTAAAGAAAAAGTAGTTGATAGCATGGAAAGAACCGGAGACATGGAGGTTCACTTCGATGTGAATGAATACCTCGACTTTTCAAGTGAAGGGACCTATGGATTAGAATGGGTGAACAAATTTGTTGAATTCCATTGGGATTCATAGGTTATCTAGAAAATGAGAGGCTTGTGTAAATTGTAATAAGTACGTGTCTCAATAATATTTAGTATATTTTGGTTGATTTTGTTTGGGTCCGTTTTTTTTTTTAATGTTAAATTATTTATTGTGTATTATCGATAGAAATTGAAGGAAAAAAAAAGAGAAGATATTTAAACACTGAGAGAAATTGAAAAAAATAATCAGGAACTAGCAGCAATAAACTTGTGGGCATCATAGGGAAAGGAGCAATGTTATGTGTATTAAAAATGTATACCAAATTATTGGTAGTTGTTCGATCAATGAGTTTCGTTAATGATTTTAGTTGAATTAATGTAAATTTTGGTGCATGAAAAATTACCGAAGGCAAAGTATTCACCATGCAGAATTTTATGTACAGAACATAGAATTATTGGATGAAAAGTGGACAAAAGACTTCACAGGAAGAGACAAAAACTCCTGGCATTTAGATTACAAGATCCTACTCACCATTCCCAAATGTTTGGTTCGCCAGAAACGACACAAAAAAAGGAAAAGTTTACGGAAAATATTATTTGAATTTAAAATAATGATTTAATTAATTATAATTATTAAATAGATAGTAAATTCTAATAAATACTTGAATCCACAATTAAATCAATGATAATAATTAATCAAACCTACATTATTTTTATTTTTTTGTTGAGAAAAAATAAGGGGTGGGGGTAAAGAATAACACCCAGTGACCATCCCGATAAATTTTCACCGGTGGGATCATTAAATTCTTGATCACGTCTGAAACATCTCTCGGGATCAGATCTAGCTAGTCTAGCATAGTTGTCAACCGTCAAGCCTTAATGGAGACTCCAAAACTCGAACTCTCAACCTTAAGATGAGGAATATGGTCGGTACTCCGTTAGACCACCTTACTCGATGGTTAAAACTAGCATTTTAAATCTATGTAAAATTACTCAAAATTTACATCTAAAAAAATGGCATAAATGTTGGGATATAACACTATCATTATTATTTTACGAAGAGGCAATAAGAACATAGCACGAGATTGCCCGAAAGAAGGGGCACTGAAAGAAAGGGACAGCTTGTAGCAAGATGTGGATTAGATAAATGATTTTTCCCTTATTGTCGTTGGATACTAAAAATTACCCCACGACGATGACATTATACAGACAGTCGGGACCAAAAATGTACACTGAGATTTTTTTTTTGTTTGTTTGTTTGTTTCCTTCCGACAATAATGTCATTACTGTATATTGAAGTGATGGCTAAACATACTCTTTCCATTAAGTGTTTCATGGGTTCAAGTCATAGAAATAAATATTTTATAATAAAATAATATTGTCTATCATATTCATTTATTTCTCTTAAATTTTTTTTTCAGTTTAATAGTCAGGAATATTCAGACAAAACTTCGATTAATTCTCTCACTCGATTTGGTCAAAGACATGTCATTCATGATAGAACTAAGATATTTACGATGGTCTGACCTCAAAAAAATTATAACTTATCTCTGTTATTATTTGAATTATTCCTTCAAATGGGCCAAAAACTTTATTTTTTAATGGTGAGCCAAAAGTTTTATTTTTTTAATTGGTTTGGGTAGATTGTGATCGGTCAAAATTTTATTTTTTTAATAAGTTTTAGTACATAGTGGTGGGCTCAAATTTGTTTATTCTAAATGAACTTAATTTTTTAATTTTTTTGAATAAATAATGTGGGCCTAATATTTTTATTTTAAATTTTGGATGGGGCACAAATAATATGTTATACAAATATATAATATATATATTTAACTAATAAATTTTTTTTATTTTTTGAGGAGGGGCATGTGCCCACCGTGGCTGTAGCCTCCATTGGCCTTGCATGACATTATGATAAATTAATTTTACAATGCCAAATATGAGTGAGTTTCTCACTTATAATTAATAGATGATAAATTAAAAAAATTAAAATATGTATTAAAAAAAATTATCAAATAATAATAGTTAATTATTCATAATTATTTATTAAATTATTTGTGAATCTCAATATCCGTTGGACTTACGACCAATTCGATCATTATGATGACAGCAAATCATACCAAGTACAAGTAGATTTATTGAATCTTATTCCAGTTACTAGCCACGTCATGGGAGTCACCACAGTCAATAACACATTGCCACGTATATAACGGTGACATGTAGCAGTGCTTTTGCGACTGAAAATGACATGCTCAATGGTCTCTTGAATGGCAGTGCTCTGCGATCTCCGTCCCAAACCACGCCTCTCTCTCTCTCTCTCCATGGCTGCTCCGTTCTTTTCAATTCCTTTCCAACCTTTTGTTTATCAGGTACTCTCTCTCAATTTTCATTTTCATATTTAGTGTTTTGGTCAGGTTTTTAATCGTTCCTTTCCTGTCAATTATAACTTTGTATGTGTATGGATCATCGATATGCGTGTCAGCGTGTGTGTGTGTTCTAGATTGCTGAGAAACTGTTGCTCCTTGGTTGGGACTGTTGGAATGAAAAGTATACTTGACTGAATTTGCATCTGTTCCGCGATGTTATGAGTTTGGTAGCTTGGATTGGTTATGTCAATTATGCGTGGAGTGTTTCACGGTGACATTTCACATACGTTTGCCATTTGTGGTGAAATTGGCGTCGATGTGTTGAGAAGTGGTGAAATTCTTGACATTAATGGTAAGATCACAACGAATAATATGGGCTGACTAGTGTGGGATGATTGTTTTGTATCAGATAGAGAATACATTTCCCGGAACTATTGTAATCAGAGAATGCAGCTATGTCATAATGTGTACTTCATTCAAAATTCTCAATGAGATATTGATTGCCATAATGGAAATTTAATGTGAAGCTCGGCTAGAATTGGCATGTTAGCTTTTAGTAAGATGAGGGAGAACTTTATAAAGATGGGTTGATTTCTCTTCTTGCCCTCATCTCTCTTTTCTTTTTTTTCCCATTGGCGTTCCATTATGACATAGGTAGAACACATGGATCAAGGTAGAAAAGTTTGATGGATTTTTTACGATTTAAGGTGCAACTTAAATTTGACTGATTATTATATAGAGCAAAAAAAATTTCTCATGCTTTCCTCAAGAGGCAAACTGAAAATGCAAATTGGAAAGAATACATATGCACATTTTGATAACAAAATTTTGGGGATCATTGTTGTAAATCATTGGAGGTTTTGCTGAATAACAACAGTATACATGTTATTTGTGTTGGGGTCTTTGTATCCAAATCATCACTATGACGATTGCATACCTCTGCCATTTCTTTGTCGTCACCAGAGCTGCCATATTTGTCACTACCACCACCATTGTCTTTTCAATCTTCCAACCATCTTCATCATGACTTTTTACATTGCCATCGCCCATCACCACTTCCCATTGTCGTTGCTCATTCTCACTCACCAACACACCACCACCACCACCATATCTATTAGTAAAACAACCAATAATGTGAACTTTGTGACCATCATCCACCACCAGTACCATTGCCATTGTGACCTACCACCATTTTGTTGTTGGCACCATCACCAATCACTACCAGCTTTATTTATATTCCAAAATTATCAGATATTTTTGTTGTAATGCCAAATTCAACTTTGAACATAGTTGTTACTACCAAGCAGGAGCTTTTGAATTTAATAATTAGCGACTATTAGATTTTCAATTTTTAGAATTAAAAGTCCACATGCCAAGTCCAAATTGTTGAACCTGGCACGCCCTACTAGGGTATGTTGATCCTTCCATATAATTTTTATCATTGCAATAGTATTATTATTCTTTCTATACTACTAATGGGGATAACATACTGTAGAATCCACAAGAAGCTGTAACACCTTTTCAGATTTTGGGTGGTGAAGCACAAATAGTCCAGGAACTGATAGCATTTGCCTCCATTTAATTTGTAAACGTAATTTTCTGCTCACTGTCGTTGTTTTTAAAATTTCCCCCCTTTCGGTGTTGACTCTCTTATTACCAGATTATGTTGAAGCCTCAAGAAAAGGAAATTGCCAAGCCCGGTAAGTTGCTTGTTAACTAATTTATAGATGAGCTCTTATGGGTGTTTTAATAGTATTGGGCCAGTTGGCTATTTCAAGTGAAAAGAATATCAGTTGATTTGTGTCAAAAATTGCTCCAGGCACTCCCATAGGAAAGTTAGTTCATCTATTCCATGGGTTACGTAATTGGAGATGCTTCTTGGTTTGTTTGTTTCATCCTTTTTGCTGTTACATGTTACTTCTTTATTATTGAGAGAAGGCTGAATTCATTACCTGGAAAACTGTCTTGCTCATCAAATTAGTGATCAACTTTGGTAATAGAGTTATTTCACTGGCAATTTTCTCCATAAATTTTTTTGATGGTTGACCCAGAATGAAAATCCCTTAGTGGGTACCCATTTGGTTCCTTCTTGTGCTTTACAAAGCTTGATTTCTCATTTTGCCAAATTGACTGGTGATTGGAGATATGCATTGGGGACTTCAATCTGGTTGTTGGGAAGATTGTTATATTAACTGATTGCCATTACTTGGGCGTGTGGGTAGAAACTTGGGTTTCTATTGAGGAGTCACTAACACCTCGAGTATGACTGGATATGTTATACTTATAGCTGGCGGTTATCTTTTGTGGATTGGTTCCTTTATTACTAAATGATTTTGTATGATTTGCAGGTTCCATGTGCTATATGCCGGGGTCCGTTGTATTGGAACATGTTTTTCCTCCTGAACATGAACCAGGCATGTGGCAATGGCTTTTTGGCAAGCGTGTGACCAGCATAGTTTTCTCCAATGTTGGTCCAAGTGATGGATTTGTTGGGATTGCTGCACCTTCTCTAGCAAGAATTCTCCCTGTTAGTATTGTTAATTTTTTTTTATCAACTGTATAATCCAAAATTTAATTCACAATCACATCTATTACTATTCTAATATAAGAAATTGCTCATGATCCTGAATTTAACATATGATCTTACTAATCATATCCTTGCTTTATGCCACTGATTTTTGTAGATTGATTTAGCAGTGCTCGGTGGTGAAATGTTGTGCCAGGTACAACTGATTTTTTTTTTTTTTTTTTGATTTACTATCTATATCTTTACTTTTTTTGCTGAGAAATTGTTTTAATGTCCGTTCTTTACCTTGTTGATTGATAGTGAGGAAGGGTATAAAGAATGTCTCTCTTAGGGGTAGTTTGTAGCTTTCCTTACGCTAATTTAAGAAAAAAGCAGTACCACTGTTAGTGTCCTAAGCCCTTTAATACAAAGAGTAAGTTTGGTACTCACTCCCCACATGTGACTTCACTAATATTGTTTTGCAGCCAGATGCATTTCTTTGCTCCATCAGCGATGTGAAAGTCAGTAATGTAGTTGATCAGAGGGTGCGTAACGTCATTGCTACTGCAGAAGTGAGATCACACGATTTCGTTGATGATCATGTGTATCAATTTAACAATGATAACATACTGACATGCATGCTATTCTGTCTATAGAGTTTCTTGAGGCAGAAGATTTCTGGCCGGGGGCTTGCATTTATTGTCGGGGGTGGTACCGGTATGATATTTTGACTTCGTGTAAATTCCAGGAAACACTTCAATGTAGGTTTGAAGAGTGTGAATCTTGCCTGAGTATTGAGGACAACGTATTTAGGACAAAAAATTGCCTGTTTTCCTAAGTTGGGTTTCCATAATGTAAAACTCCCAGGGCTAGCATGTTGACATATAATTTGTACCTTAGATTTGAGATTTTCATTCTTATTTTGCAATGACTTTGAATTTTGTCTAAGGTAGTCTTAAACTTACACGATGTTAGCATTTAAGCTAAATAAACTAGAGCAGAAATTTTAAAATTTTTTATTGTCCCCCTTATATTTTTAGAAAATTTTATTTTTAATCTCTAGCTTTTCAAAATACCCAATGTGTAAGTATCTTAATAATATATTCAAAAAGATCAATAACTTAATATTTAGTAACTATTTAGGATGTAGTCACATGGATGAGTGTCGCTTGTACCGACAAAGACACTTGTTGGATTATTTTGATGATGCAGAGAAAAAAAAACTTTTTTAAAAAAAAAAAATAGGGATAAAAATATGGTTTATATCAAAAGTAGTCCATTGACTTATAATTCATTTTTATTATGGTATCAAATAAAACTATTATTTATGACCTATTTATTTATAGATATAAGATTACATTATAAACAAGAAAAAGAGAGGACGAGAATATTTACACAAATGAATTTTTATGATAGCATGAATCAATTTTTGAGTTTTGTACTCAAAAATAATTTTTTTGATGTCATTGCATAAAAATTAAATTTAATAGGTTCTTTACAAATAAAAATTTTTCATTGACAATAACATTGAATTAAATTTTTGTCTCTGTCATTGTTGGCCCCCCTCAAGATAAAATTCTGGTTCCGTCCTTGAACTTGAGAGTTGGAATTGCTTAAGGATCTTCAAGCAAGTGAGGGATTTCTAGTGAATGAGGTACCCCTTTTCAATAGGAGCCTTACTTTGTTATATATACATTCTGTCTAGGAAATTATTGCCCGAGTTAGAAACTTGTGTGGTAAAGATTTCAAGACTTATACATTAGGTCCATGTTATTATGATGGTACCTTTTGATGCGCCCTGTAAGATCCATATGAGAAATGCCCATTGTATGTATATAAAGGGATAAATAATAAGTAAGAATCCATTCACCAACTACTTCTCTTGTTAATCATTATGTATGCATCTGAAATCGAGTATGATATTTAATTTAGGGATGGTGTTTCTGCAAACTTGGACGTATTTGCTTATTGGTGTAGCAAGAGAAAGATGCTTTATTTAAATTTTATTCTCATTCCATTTTCACCAGTTGTACAGAAGAATCTCGAGGTTGGTGAAGTACTTTCTGTTGACATGTCAAGCATTGTCGCCTTGTCAGCAACGATCAATGTACAAGTCAAGTATAATGCTCCGATGAGAAGGGTGGTCTTTGGGGTAAGTTGCTTCTGTTTTCTTATCCCGTTAGGATTTCTGGTTCTTTTTCCTATTAATTTGCTTTTCTTTCCATCTTTCCATGCCTTTTTTTCTGTGAGATTTATTCTTTTCCAAGTTATCCTTACAGAAACATGTATGGCTACTCTATATACCTTTATATTGGTTGAAATTATGCATTTACAGATGTAAATTTACTTGTATCATTGAGACTCATACAAAGTTATGGTGCGCTGCCTTCTTAGAATTTTTATTGATCTGCTTTATGATTTATATTTTGGTGCATTATATTTAGTATTAGAAGCAGCAAGACAGCAATAGAGCGAATTTCCTACTTTTTGTATTTATAAACTTAAAATTCCCCCACAATATAAGTTCTGTCGTGACCCCAAATTCCTTTCTGTTTGTCTTGACATGTAAACCTAGTGCCCTATTTAATATTGAAGCCATCCTTACCAAAGCTATTCGCTTTACTGGCATCTCCTATTGCATCCAGAGGTGGAGGTGCCAGGTTCATGTCCAATTTGGGGACATGGGGTTTATGCATTAATAAAAAAGAGACTGCAAACATTATACTCAACATTATTTGTATTATGACCAGCTAAATTTTATTTTGTTTTATACCTAAATTTCACAAACCAGAAACTAAATTAATATTATGTAAATGTAGTGAAACTAAACAAAAAGAATTGAAAAGATCTTCTTTAGGATAGTGGGAAAGTTTAAGAACTGCAAATTTTGCACAAAGCCAATAATGTCTATATGGCTACGAAGGGGTTGACATTAATCTTATGCATGCACTTAAAGGACTGCCTGACCTGATGGAACACCGTACCGAGGAATATCTGCAGACAGATGCAATACGCAGAACATCAGGAGAGTAGTCACTCTCAATAATATTCCTTGCTCCCCTTAAAGATTTTTCTTAGCCTCGGGTCAAGATATGACGTAGCAAGACAGCTTTGGCGCCAATTGAATCGTACAATGTCAATAAGATCAAGGGATAACAGAAAAATTCCAACAAGTTCTCTTACTTGATTATTTTCAGTGAGATGCCTGTCAACAATCAAGTTGTAATATGACTCGGTGAAGCCCGAGGTCGAAGCCACAGGAGTTATCCGTTGGAACTCAAAACAGAAAGGGTGAAATTGCCGGGCGCGTGGTGTGTGATACAACAGCTTGGCTCTCAATTGTAATTTATTATTTGTGGCTAATAAATGCTCTGTCTCGCTACTCTTTTAAATTTGGCCCTTATTCTTTGGTGTCTGAAACACAATGCCTGAGCAGGAAAAGAGTTTCTGACCTTATTCTTAACGGTCTTTAATCTTCCTCCATTGCCATTTTCAGCATGATCATGGTCACGAGGTTTACTTTTGTGTTTCATGTAGGCTTATAGAGTATGTGATTCCTATCTCTATGTTCAGCTTGCAAAATGCCACATCCGGCAGCTGCCGTCTTAGGCTGGATGCCACCTTCTGTCTTTTTGCTGACCATAGAAGTACTACTACTTCATTCCCGTTGAATAGGGGATTATTTGCAGGTTTTTGTTTTAACATACATGGATGTTCAAAAATCAAAACCGTACGGGTATTAGAACGAGAGACAAATATGTGGTTCAACATTAGCGGACTTGTTCAGCATGACATGTTGATATAAATACTTGTACTTTCCTCTGCCTTTTCCCAGCTATTTAAGAAAAATATAACCCTTTCTTCCTTTGTAGAGAATTAGAAGCTATTTCTTTTGTTTTCCTTTTCCTTCTATTTTACCTTAAGAGGTATCCAATCTACAATTCTAGCCACTGAAAGCCAAAGCCTGTGAATTTGGAATGTATCTTTGTACGTTATGTTTTCCCGGCCTTCTTCTTCTTTGTCGGCCGCTGCTTTTGTTGGTTACATTATACATGTCCAAGCCATCTTAACATGTGGTATTGCTATTTAACCATTGAAGTTGCCCTGGAGGTTCCAGGAATGCAGAAAGATTTTTCAAGTAATTTCATCTTTTCAAGTCATTCGTCTTGTCGAGTTGGTGTTTTCCCCTTTGTCATGACAAATTGGTGGACAGACTCTGTTATAGAGATTTGGATACTCTGAATGTTTTTAGTTTTCATATTCGGCTTGACTGCTTAATGAAGTATGCTTGCTTTATGTTTATGAAAACCTGGCATCACTGACTGTGTTACTAAAAATTGCAGGGTGACAATCTAATGACAGCTGTTTTGACAGGACCGGGAATTGTCTTTATTCAAAGTATGGCTTTCCATCGCCTATCTCAGCGCATTGCTAGGTAATTTCTTGCAATTGCCTGGAATCCATTAAACCAAATTGGATTTTACTTTCTGCTGTGGGGTAAGATGAGTTGGTTGGTTGCGAAACACGCCTCCTGAAGCTGCCTTTCATTTGACTCACACCGTGGCTTGCCACGCTGTTTGGTTTAGTCCTTACTCACAAAACCTCGCTGGGAGTAGGAATATGGAGCACAACGTTTAATCTCGAGGGAAAAAAAAACCATTTGGCCCTCCCTCCCTCGGGTATTTGACAAAGTGGCTGGTTTCTATTTTGCAGGGCAGTTGCATCTCCAAACATGAGGGATAATCCAAAGTTCCTCATTCAAGTTGCAATTTTCTTGTTTCTAGTTTATGTTGTAGTTGTCTCATCATTTATCTTGACAGATATATAATCTCTCTTTTTATTTTTTATTTTTTCTCCTTTTCTTATACATTCCATATAGCATCTCTTACCTACTGTCTTCTTTCGATGCTACGTTGAATCGATTTTTAAATTTAAAGATAGAGGGAGAGGGAGCTTAATAATAGAAACACAGATTTACGTTTACATTGGTTTCATTGGAGGAAGTGTTATTGCTTTTAGAATTACTAATAATGCACCATGTGCGTTACGGGTGAATATTTTTTGTATACAAAAATTAATAAAAAATTTAGGTATATATGTATTTGAATTAAATATTATTTTAAATTTATTAAATTTAATTTTTCATTGTTCATATTTTATTTTAAGATTACGAAAATTATGTATGTTCCCAAATTTTTTTGTTCTAAGCATAAAAAAAAAAGTTAAAGTTTTATTTTTTTAGAATTTTGTGATTAAGATTGATTTTTTAGTGATGCTTGAGAAATTAATTTTTTTAAAAATTCATTTGATTAAGATTTCACTTATAATTCCTAGAATAAAATAAAAGTAATTATCAATATATTAATCATATTATAATTTTATTGTAATTAGGAATTAGTTAGGTTAATCGGGATAAGATTTAATATAGTATTCTACAATATATATAATTAAGAATATTAAAATTCTAAAATATTTAAGTTTTATTTAAAAATAAACTACAATATTTATTTTTACTTTAGATCTAAGTACAACTTACATAAAATCGTATTCTTACTAAAAAAATTATATATATGATTATTTTTTATTTTATAAATAAAATGATTAAACTTTTTGATAAAAAAGAATATACAAATATAGATATAATGTTATTTTTGCATATGAGATTGAGTAATATTTGATGGGTTTTTTGAACACTTTGTTGAAGATGTAATGATATATATTTTTTTAATGGTAATATAGTCGATCAAAAAAATTTATAGAAACTAATATTTATAAATATAGAATAAATAATTAAAAGAGATATTATAAATAATTTAGAGATTTAAATATATAAAGATATGGTGATAATTTAAATATTTGTGAAAGGATATAATGGCCTTTGGAATCCTTTTATAAAGGTAAAATAGAGATTCAAAAGTTTTTCATTTTCAAATATTTTTATTATAGTGTATGTATATATGTATGTGTGTGTGTGTGTGTGTGTGTGTGTATATATTACTAATAAATGTACCTTAGTATAAAAAAAATTTAATTCACCATTTTACCCTTATAAATAAATTTAAATATCACAATATCCGCACATAATTAAGTATCAAAATTATCATCATATTCTTATGTGTATAAATCTCTAAATTGTCCCCAACATTTCTTTTAATTCTTTATTTTCTATGTATAAATATTAAATGTTATCCTTTAAAAATAAGCATTGATTAGAATATTAATAATTATTGTTATTTTATTCAATGACATCTAAATTGAAATCTAATCAAATGAATTTCAAAATGAATTATTTTTATTTATTTTTCTTATGGTTAGAACAACAAATTGTTGGGAATAGACAAAATTTTTTGAATTTTATAATATAATATAAGCAATAAAAATATAATTTTTGTAAACTTCATATAATATTTANTGGGCTCTTCCGGATAGTGATTTGGATACGGTGGACTTGTTTGGTTGTTGTATTAGAAATTGATGAATTAGATATAATAATATAGTCTAATACAATACGAAAGGATAAAAAATAAGATTAAATAGGGTATTAAANCTTCCGGATAGTGATTTGGATACGGTGGACTTGTTTGGTTGTTGTATTAGAAATTGATGAATTAGATATAATAATATAGTCTAATACAATACGAAAGGATAAAAAATAAGATTAAATAGGGTATTAAAATAATACGTAATTTTATCAAGTGTTTGGTAATACACAATATAAGTGTTGGATAGTAGTTATTTAATCCAAACGGTTGTTTGGTTAGAGAATTATTTTATCGTATTAATTTTGAATTAACAAAAATATCCTCAATCAGTGTTTGTTACATTAATAATAACTTAATTTTATCAGTTAAGGGGTTATAATAGTAAATGTGTAGAATAATACGTTTGAGTTGAATTATAATACCACCTCTCTTGGTGGTATTAAAAAATCTCCATAATACAGAGCTATCGTATAAAAAATATATGATAAGTATACGATCAATATATGTTTTTGAAATTAATACGGTATCAAATTTACTTACCAAACAAAGTATTAGACCTGATTAAATAAAAAATAATTCAATCTAATATTTAATTCTCTTATAATACATCTACCAAACGAGTCGTGTGTTTATAAAGAGGGGTGGATTAGACTTGGAGGGGGCTAAGCTTGATATAATCACTTACAAAAATAATATTATTAGGAATTACATGTGAGAAAAATTCACATCGAATAGAAAAATAAATGAAAGAGATTAAATATACTATGAATAAACTCACTATAGGTTTAAAATTTTAGGTGTAATTGAATTTCAAATATGAACGTTAGACACTAAAAACTCCCAATGTTAAGATTGTGCCAATCCATGAGAAAAAAATATTCATTATAATGGCAATATCACATGACGATGCTTCATGTAAATAAATAACTACCCAATCTTCCTTGATGTAAAACCAGTAACTATTCAAATGGGATTTACCTAACGCACTTAGTGTTTTATTATTGATTGATGATACTATATCGGCATAGTATCATCATTGCATTAAATATTTTCTCCACATATACAAAGTGATAAACTCTAGATTTAGTCATATGAATGTGTCCACTACTCTTCATACAACATTATTTGGGTAAACGTTGTTAACTATTGACGAGCCCATGACCGATTGGGTCGGGCGCAACCAATTAACTAAGCTCGATTCAAGTACAAAGTGGGTCAAATTCAATTCATGAATTCGACCTAGTATAAAAGTCAAAAAGTCCAGAAAGATTAGAGCATGTGGAGAGCAAAAGTCAGGATAGTTACTCTCAAAGATCAAAACCATCTTTAATTGTACGTATTCTTAGCTATGATTATCCTCCCCGAAAAACTAGTACTTTTACCCTCATGTCATCGATTCAACCAAGATTTTGTGCCTATAACTTTTATGTCTTCTCCATATGATAGGGGTATCTCGCTACACACCTTGCACAACTATATCTCTTATAGCTACCAAGAGCATATACCCTTGCTCTCTCTCTCTCTCTCTTTCTCTTTCACCTACTACTTCATCAATAAAGACCACCGACCACCGTTACCGTCTTTAAAGTGGAGTAAGTCACTCTGACCAAATCACTATACATCTATGTATAAGTTTGCTTTGTGTATCATCAACTGTCAATATTTGTTGTGCTTTAAATATAAATGAGTGATTAAATTTTTACGGTGGTAAATATAAAAATTATAAGAACAACCCTTGGATAGTAATTCTAAGTGATTTGGATCACATTGTTCCAGGTTATGTTTCAAGAGTTTTACATTTATATAGATTCTGTAAAATGCAAATAAAATATTAACTCAAACATAGAAAATCCCCCCCATAATCTGTGGTTGGGGACCTCTAATTTATTTCTTTATCTGGCAATTACTAAAGAATATGTGGGCCCGAGGGGGACAATTTTTTCTCATCAATAGTTTGTAATTATATTTCTGTTGGTCTCCATAATGGGTTTCTCATGCCATCCATGGGCTCAATTCCTTTACAGAGAGATCTCAGCAACTAAATAATGTTGAGTTCAGTTATCTTATCTCAGAATTTTCATGGATGATTGCAATCGCCAAATTTAAAATAAACATAATGACAATAAAAATGATTAACAAAAGGAAAGATACTTTAATTAATCTCGAAGGTTTTTTGGGATAAAATAGACCGATGAAACAGTCTTTGAAACTAATCATAATTTTGAAACTAACCTAAAACTACTCCTAAATGGCAAAGTCATGGGTCTTTGATGGGTTAGATCGTCCCATTTTCTTGCAATTAAAACCTCTTTTATAGGCACCTTCCCAATGACGGTTACACTGGTTTCTTCAAATAGTTCTCCTCAAATTTATATCTTGTTTTAACTGTTACTTCTCAAATTACTAGAAGTATTGACAAGTGCTTTTTTTTTTTTCAAATTCTAAATAACAGCTTCATTCCATCCATTTTAAGGGTTTTAACTGCTCTTGAATTTAGACAGACCACATCGACTCGGTATATATTCATTTTTGATGAAATGAATGCCACGTGACCATTCTCCTTAGTTGACTTGTTCATTGGACAGGTGCCATTTATCGCTTGTTCACAAAAAAAAATATAGAATTTGGCTCAAATAATATCCTCCTCATTTATTTGGGTTAATTAAAAACCTGAATAAGTGAATTTTATAGGAANTTCTCAAATTACTAGAAGTATTGACAAGTGCTTTTTTTTTTTTTTCAAATTCTAAATAACAGCTTCATTCCCTCCATTTTAAGGGTTTTAACTGCTCTTGAATTTGGACAGACCACATCGACTCGGTATATATTCATTTTTGATGAAATGAATGCCACGTGACCATTCTCCTTAGTTGACTTGTTCATTGGACAGGTGTCATTTATCGCTTGTTCACAAAAAAAATGTAGAATTTGGCTCAAATAATATCCTCCTCATTTATTTGGGTTAATTAAAAACTTGAATAAGTGAATTTTATAGGTANATTCATTTTTGATGAAATGAATGCCACGTGACCATTCTCCTTAGTTGACTTGTTCATTGGACAGGTGCCATTTATCGCTTGTTCACAAAAAAAAATATAGAATTTGGCTCAAATAATATCCTCCTCATTTATTTGGGTTAATTAAAAACCTGAATAAGTGAATTTTATAGGAAAAACTCAATAAGGGCAACTGTTCTCTTTTTGGACACTATATAAACGCATGAAGGCAGCACCATTAATTTTACTTTCATACTTTTCTTTTACGTTTTGGCTGTTTGGAGTTCTTATTTCTCATCAGTACCTTTCGAACATTTCAATGGCGCCCAAACAAAGGTTGAACCAACGGT